TATGGCGAGCCAGGAAACGAGCTTTTTCAAGGGAGGGGACTCCGGGGTGGGTGAGCCACTTATCATACGTGAAAAGCTGGAATGTCACAATGACCATAAGTGCCACGCGGACGAGAGAGAGAGCAGAGAAAAACACAAATTCGACGAGTTTAAGGGATTGAGTTCAAGTTGTCCGTAGACCGCCAAGTAAATAGTTACGAAACGATTTCGTCATCTACACGCAAGTCGACATTTGGCAAAATAGACTCGTGTCTAAACATTTTTGACGAATCCTCAACTCCACGAGTTCTCTGGCTATACGCACGGCTCTATCTAAAGCATAATTTGCTCACTGCATCATCAGCTTTGCGGGTTCTTGATAACTTACTTATGAAGAAAAACTGTTAGGAATGGATTTCTCTGTAGAACGATTAATGATGTTTTTAGAAAACAGCTAGAAGTGACAACGACAGAGGATCAGCAAAAAGAAAAAAGCAAGTTCACATCAGCATTTCCTTTCCATTGAAACACTTGAATATGCTGATCTCGGTGATATTATGTCTCGCGTGCGCGTGAAGAGCGGTGGGGCAGCGAAGTCGTTCTGCAGGAGCTGGGCCATAAGCAACATGTTCTGGGTTAGTATGAACTGGGCTCATTTTTGGACGCCGCCGCTCGGACCTCCTAACTCACTTTTCCTACCAACAAAAGCTAACTGCTTGGGCAAACGGCGTGGTAGAGTGACCTTGATGATCGAGTTACCTTTCCTGAAGGTAAATTCAATACCGTTTGTCGCGCAGAATGGAAACATGATGCAGTCCTACTCACAAGACAGTGTGATCGTTGCCCATGGAATTTGCTGCGCACGGGTACCGCCCTTCCTGCTGATGCTTACCCACGGTAAATACTAATCATTTATCCATCGTTTTCTGCAGTTTAAGTAGAAGGAAAGCCTTTCACTACGCCGTGTGGTAGTTCTACTTCGTGCACAAGCATAGTTTAGTGAGTGCGAGATCAGGCGACCGAGTGGGAAATGTTCGGGACATGTGTTGGGGTTGGTAAGAAAGAAACTATTGCGTTCTTAAGGGCTACTCCACTGACGGAC